TTTAAGCTTTTTTGTACTTTTATGTTTTTTAAATACTTTTTTTAATGCCCTTTTATGCTTTTCCATACTTTTCTATGCTTTCTATGCTTTTTTTAATGCCCTTTTATGCTTTTCCATACTTTTCTATGCTTTCTATGCTTTCTATGCTTTTTTAATGCCCTTTTATGCTTTTCCATACTTTTCTATGCTTTCTATGCTTTTTTTAATGCCCTTTTATGCTTTTCTATACTTTTTATGCTTGTTTTTGCCTTTTTATGCTTTTCTATACTTTTCTATGCTTTTTATGATTTTCTATGCTTTGTAAGCTTTTCTATGTTCTTTAATGCTTTCTATGCTTTATATGCTTTTCTATGTTCTTTTATGATTTTTTATGCCTTGTATACTTTTCTATGTTCTTTTTATGCTTTTCTATGCTCTTTTATGATTTTCTATGCTTTGTATGCCTTTCTATGTTCTTTTATGATTTCTTATGCTTTTTATGTTTAAAAATCAATTTTTACAATTGTAATAATTATATTCATATAATATTAATCATTCGATTAATTATGTTTTGAATTTAATTTAAAAAAAAAATTAAAATCTTGTTTACTTTAATACACGAACGGAAAAAATTTTATAATTTAAACTCAATTAACGTTGGTGATTGGTATAACCTTTTTTCGGGCTTTCTAAAACTTCCTCTCTGATTCAATTTAATTCTTGGGCATATAGTTAATGTGCTCAATTAATTATATTATTATCAACCTATTGGTCTCTCGTAGATTGTAATCAATTTGTCGAATATATTGAGGTCGAATTTTTAGAAGCGCATATATATATATATATATATATATATATATATATATAATATATTTAAAGAAAGTGAAAATGGAAAGTATTTTATAATTTCTTTACAAAATATATTCATATATACATATATGTGAATTATTAATTGTTTATTCACACAAATATTGAAAAGATTTAGAACCATATTATTATCAAAATATTTCCATAAATTTTCTTTTTTTTTTTTTTTTTTTGAAGAAAAAAATTATTCTCTTAGTTGGCAAAAAAAATATGTCTTTTAATTATTAATTAATTTATTAATTAATATTTAATTTATTTATTAATTAATATTTAATTTATTTATTAATTTCATTTATATTTATTAATTAATATTATTTAGTTGTTGGCCAAAAAAATATGTCTTGTAATTATTTCTATTTTTATTAATTAATTTATTAATTAATATTTAATTTATTTATTAATTACATTTATGTTTATTAATTAATATTATTTAGTTGTTGGCCAAAAAAATATGTCTTGTAATTATTTCTATTTTTATTAATTAATTTTTTAATTAATATTTAATTTGTTTATTAATTTCATTTATATTTATTAATTAATAATATTTTTTTGTTTGCAAAAAAATATATATTGTAATTATATTTGTAAAAAATTATTCTTATTTGGCAAAAATATATGTCTTACAGTAATTATTAATAAAAAATTATTCTTAGTTGTTACGGCGAAAAAAATATCTTATAGTAATTATTAGTTAAAAAAATTATGCTTAGTTGCAAAAAAAAAAAAATTATTTGTAAAAAATTATTCTTAGTTGATAAAAAAAAAATATGTCTTGTAATTTGTAATTATTTTGTAAAAAATTATTCTTGTTGGCAAAAAAAAAAAAAAAAATGTCTGTCATTACATCTTTCTTTACGATGTATCTATTTACAAGTCACTGCTAAATGAAGAAAGTAATATGTATTAAAGTAGAAGCACTTAGTTTCGATTTAAGATAATATCTCTTTATACCAATACAAATAATTCATTCTCTATATATACAGGACTTTTCTTGTTACTACAGAGAGTGTAGATTTAAATCTATATAATAATAATATATATATATAAACGATATAGATTTCCCACGTTATAATTTTTTATTATTATTTTTCACGCATACAAAATACAATATTATATATAGATTATAAATCTAAAAAAAAAAAATGATAAATATATCTAATTGTGAAATAATGCAAAAATTATATAATATTTTCTATGTATAAAATACATTTCTATTATTCAAAATAATAATTCTACTTTTAAAGAACATTAACTTTTTATAGTTTAATTATACTATTAAGAAAGAATTTTACAGATTATAAAAAAAATAATTATCATATTAAAATTTATTGTCTAAAAATGAAATATTGTCACAAAAATTAATATTTGTTATTTCGATAGTAATTACCCAATGGGAAAAATACCATTGGCGTATTAATGGCCCAATAATGGGAGCCAGGGATGCCAATATAATTCCAATAATGGCACCCAATAATGGACCATTATTGGTAAAGTCATGGGCTGTCCACGCCGATGCCAATGATTGGCAACCATCATTGGCAAATTATTGGCAACCAATAATTAGCCAATATTAAAAATTTTAATAATAATTTAAAAAATCAATAATTTAAAAAAAAATTTATATTTTTATTATTTTTTAATAGTTATTATTATTATTATTTTATTTTTAATAATTAAATTAAAATAAAAAAATGGTCATCAAAGTATTAGTGAAACTATTTCTTCCAAAAAAGAGTTTGTCTCAAATCCAATTAATAGAAGAGACATCGGGCAGAAAAAAATTTCGACGAGAAAAAAATTTTAGATCACTGCTTATATACCAATCAAGTGGCATCTCAACTGCGAGAAACAGTGATGTTCGCCCTCCCTTTGCGGCGTTGAGTGAACTAAAGTCCAGAGCTGAGCCATCAGCGCAGCGCGGGAACATTTAAAAAATTTGATTTTATTAGATATTTTATTTTATAATAATTAACGAATTATTAAGTATGACATTATGTTATTAATAATTATTAATGACATTAATTATTTATTAAGTTAATTATTTGTCATATTTAAAATAAAATAAAATATCTAATAAAATCAAATTTTTCAAATGTTCCCGCGCTGCGCTGATGGCTCAGCTCTGGACTTTAGTTCACTCAACGCCGCAAAGGGAGGGCGAACATCACTGTTTCTCGCAGTTGAGATGCCACTTGATTGGTATATAAGCAGTGATCTAAAATTTTTTTCTCGTCGAAATTTTTTTCTGCCCGATGTCTCTCCTATTAATTGGATTTGAGACAAACTCTTTTTTGGAAGAAATAGTTTCACTAATACTTTGATGACCATTTTTTTATTTTAATTTAATTATTAAAAATAAAATAATAATAATAATAACTATTAAAAAATAATAAAAATATAAATTTTTTTTTAAATTATTGATTTTTTAAATTATTATTAAAATTTTTAATATTGGCTAATTATTGGTTGCCAATAATTTGCCAATGATGGTTGCCAATCATTGGCATCGGCGTGGACAGCCCATGACTTTACCAATAATGGTCCATTATTGGGCGCCAATGGTTTTTTCATTGGCTCCCATCATTGGGCCATTAATACGCCAATGGTTACTCGTGGCAGTTTCCCATTGGGTATATTATTTAATGTAAATATTTTTTTACTTTTTTATATATAGTTTTTTTTTCTTATACTCATCAATAATTATTATTACAGTAAAAGAATATTTAAATTTAGAAAAAAAAAAAAATTCATTTAAAATTTTTCTAAAAATTTCGACTCAGTGAAAGTTGAGAGTATATAACTTTTTGATGAGAGAAATGTAAATACGCCAGTTAAAAAATTTTTTTTTTTTTTTATATAGGAAAGTAATGAGATTTTTTTCTCTTAATGAAGTTTCGTAATAATTTTATAATATATATAGAATCAATATTCTTGAAGCTGTATAAAATATAAATATTTTATAATATTATTATAGTAAAAAATGGTGTGAAAGACATAATTAGAAAAAGAAACAATTGTGAGAATAATAATTATTTTTTGGAGTATTGAAAAAAAATTTACTTTCACAAAATTTATATATATTTTTCAAATTATAGTATAAAAACTACGATGCGGACAGAATAATTATTTGTAATTTAAAAAAAAAAAGATTTTGACACGTAAAATAAAATGCTATAATTGATTTTCTTTTTTTTTGCTTTTAAAAAATGTTTTAATAACACATTAATTTTTTTAAGTTTTTATTTATTATTTTTACATAATTTCGTACCTATTTTGAATTTTTTTTCTATGTCTTATTTATTTTTTTTTTTTAAATATTCTGTTAAATAATATATTTTCCATGTCCTTCAACCGATATTAATATTTTTTCTTCACGCATATAATTTTAAATATTATATTAATAAAATTATAACAAAAATTCGATAATAAATAAAAAATTGTTATGCAAAAAAAAAAAAAAATAAAAAAAATCGATTGTTACAAATAATGATAATTATATATCAATGGCTTGTTATATAAAATTGATGGTCAAACGCCCCTTGAAAATTATATTGTTTTAAGAAAAAATTTTTATACAAAAGAAATTTTATACAATCGGTAAAAAAATTTTTTCTCAAAGAAAATTTTTTATTTTATTATTTTATTAATTATTAATTATTAATTATTGTTCTAACTAGCAAAGAAATTTTACAATCAAAAATTTTTTCTCTTTGAAGAATTTTATTATTTATTATTATTTTTACTATTTTATTATTATTATTATTATTCTTATTATTTATTATTATAATTAATTATTTTAATTTTTTTTCCTATGCGAAAGTATTTTTTTATTTTTGAAAAAGAAATCTTGACAAAATATTTTCTAACGCCAAAATTGAAGGGAATAAAATTTTTTAATAAATTTTTTTTTTGAAATTCAAAATCAGAAATCGAGAAATGTCTATAAAAGTGTATATATCTCGAAGGATTTGAGACAGAAATTGTAAGGAATATATATATATATATATATATATATATATATATATGTATTACGAGTGGGCGAGTTCTTTCACGTTCACCATCGTCCTATCTATATCCATCTCCCACCAGGTGTTTTAAAGTCTTCCCTCACAAGAAGTAAAACTCTCGGACGTTTTCCGATCTCCTGCAGTTTCAAACCCGTCCTCGCACTGTCGAAAGTTCAGGGAACCGCGAAATCCTCTCGTTTATAAATATATATGGTTTTTTTTTTTTTTTTTTCATAAATTCATATTTCCTTCTTTGTCCTCAAAAAAATTTCTTTTCAGCAAAATTTTTTTTTTACTTTATTCACGAAGGTTCATTTAATATTTACTTCTGTTTCTCCTAATTACTAAAAATCGTAATTTTCTATCAAAAAAAAAAAAAAAAAAAAATTAGCAAAAAAATTAGCAAAAAAATAAATTAATTAAAAATTTACAGTAATAAAAATTAATTCAATTTTTTTTTGCAATTTTTTTCAATAAAAAATAAAAATTAATTATAATTTTTAAAAATATATTTAATTACAATTTTTTGTTTTATAATATTTGTTTATTGAATAAAAGTGAATTTTTGATTTAATTTAGAAAAAAAAACATTTAAGAAGAAAGAGAAAAATTAATTTATTATCAATGGAATGTTAATTTAAAAAACTTTAAAAAAGAGTGGTGATTGAAAATATAAAAAGTGTGAAAGCAAATTATTAGAAATTTTTTTTTTTCTTCTAAAATTGTGAAAAATTACAATAATGAAGCGAAAATACGTGGTGTGTTTTTTGTGGACGTTATTACTTTTGCATTCTGATTATGCATTGGGAGAAGCGAATCCCCCGAATTTACCCTCTTCGGATTTATCGCAATTACACAACGTAAGTCGCATAATTTATTTTAGAAAAATAATAATAATAAATTTAATAATAAATAATATTAAATATCCCTTTGGTCTCCTCAAGGTTTCTTTATGCGGATATAAGTTTCTTGTACAGACTATTAAACGGAATTATTCAGTGTCCTTCTCTTCTGTCATTAATAAATTTGTCCGTTCCAGTAAGAACAACAAGGAATTACTTACTTTTTTCTGTAGCATTTCATAGAACAAACTATGGGAACAATGCTTTAATTGATAGACTTAGTAGAGAAGCTAATTCAATTTCTAACGAAATAGACCTATTTGACAATAATTTAACAAGATTCACCTCGGCATTATGTAGATTAATACTAAATAATAACTAAAATGCACCAACCTAGTTATAATTATATTTATATTTTTTATATACAAGTTTGTATCTATATTATAATAAGTACTATTGTACGAAAGGGCATGTCCCGTTAACTTAATAAATGAAATGAAATGAAATGAAATATATTTTTATGGTATTTTTATTTATTCATATTTACATTTTTTTTACAATTTTTATTTCTAAATTAATTTAGAATTAATTTAAAAAATTTATTAAGTATTATTTTTATTTATTCCATAATATTCATAAAAAAAAAAATTATTCAATTTCCGATTTTTTTTTATTATTCTATTTTTTTCCAACATAAAAATAAAATTTTAAATATTAACAAAGATTAAAACCCAGAGGAACGTTTTTATTTGAACCAAATATAATATATTTGATTTATAAATAAATGTATCTTTATCTCAGCCCATTTATATTTGGGGTAAATAAAATTTTTTATTTGAATCGAATAAAAATTTATTTAAATCAAATAAAAAATTTATTTTAAATCAAGTAAAAAATTTATTTAAATCAAATAAAATTTTCATTGAATTAAATAAAATTTTCATGGAATCAAATAAAATTTTCATTAAATCAAATAAAATTTTCTTGGAATCAAATAAAATTTTATTTAAATCAAATAAATCATTTCTCTGTGTGTATATTTTCTCAAAATAAAAATATTCGTTTTCTCGACATGATCGTTACATAAAAAATATATTTGAATTATCGCCCGCTTGTTTAAATAATAAAAGTATTCTGTCAAAAAGGAAAAAAAAAATTGTTTGATTTTGATTGTTTTTCTTTCTTAACGAGACTTCAGTGTGTACAATAGCAATTTTTTTTCTCTAATTTTACAATAACCCATTGTTTTTTTTTTTTTCCTTGGAAGTTAACAATTTACGTTTGACGCTACTATGGTTATTGACACTCTGTTTGATTAACGCAAAGTTTGACCAATATAGGTATATATATATATATTGTAAAAAAAAAAAAACGTGAAAAATAAAAATACGCCAACTTTCACCTAGTTTCAATAATCTTGTTCCTTTAATTATTTGTCATATATACGTATTTTGTAAACGTAAAATCCGCGAGCGGCAAAAATAATTATAGTGTCTATTAGCCGCACAAAAGTGACGTGAATGAAAAAAAAAAAAAAAAAAAAAAAAATTAGTGACCGCACAAGTTTTTACGATTTTCTGGTTTGTTTCGTTAATTTTGTTTTTTTTTTTAAATCCCTGGTCTATATTTATATATTTACTCCAATTTGAATTATTTTACCTGGATTTAGATTTAAAAATTTTTATTATAGTAATTTTGTATTTCTATAAGTAATAATATTTAAAAAAATATAATTACCTAGTGTTACGTGTGCAACTTTGATCATTTAAGAATTTTTTTTTTTTTTTATTATGCACTTACTCTTTTTTTTACCTGTAATTACTTAATGAATATATTTATTTAAAGTAAGTGATCTAAATGCATGTTACAAAAATCATTGTAAAAAAACTATTTTCCAATTTTGTTTCATATTCGAATTTTTATGACCAATTTTATAAAATGGTTCAACTTAAAAATTCACTCAATCGAGATATATGTCTTCTTTTATGATTACTTCTTTTTTTTCCAAACTTCTAGAAAATAGTATAGATATACTACTATTATGTATTATTATTATATTATTATATTATTACATTAGTAATATAATTATGATTACTACTATTTTTTATTATTTTTATTATTATTATTATTATTATATTATTATATTATTACTATTTTATTATTATTAGTATTATATTATTACACTAAAAAAATTATTTGATTCAAGTAAATATTTATTTGATAATAGTGAAGTTATCGATTATTTGAATCAATTAAATATTTTTCTATGATATTATATATTATTTGTTAAACTATTTTATTTTGTTTTATCATTATTGTAAATTATTTTTATTAAGTAATTATTTATTGTTAATTTCTCAATTTTTATTATAATTTATAATATAACTAAAAAAATATTAAAAATAAAAAACAAGAAAAAAATAATGGAATTTAATATTTTTTTCTTTTGCAAATCATTGGTGTGAAAGAAATAAAATTGATCTATTGAAAAACGATAAGAGATCAATTTACTGACATTGATCGAGTTCGAGGCTACTATTATATATATATATATATATAGTAAAATGTTGCAAATATAATTGATTTTATCATTGATAGTCATGGGAATCGAGATTAATCATTTTTTTGTATTAGAAAGAAAGGCGAACAATAAGTTATTGTATATTATTATTATTATTATTATTATTATTATTATAAATTGCATAATTTCCTTATGTCACTTTTAAAATGATTTCCATTTCTTTTATAAATCATTTCCGTGACTAGAATTTTAATCTAGATTATAATCATAAGTGTTATAATAATATATACAGGGATATCAGTTGCGCATATATCACCCAGAGAAATATTTTATTTAAATCAAATATATAATATATTTGATTTAAATCAAAATGTATATTTGTCTCAGAGCCTACTAGTCCATTTATTTGGTGTAAATAAATTTTTTTTTTATATTTTAATTAAATAAAAAATTTCTTTAAATCGAATAAAATTTTTATAATTAACGCAAAGAAATGTTTTTATTTGGCAGAAATTAAATTTTAATTGGCGCAAAGAAATTTTTTTAAAAATTTTATTTGTGCTAAATAAAAAAATTTTCCTTGCGCAAATTAATTAATATTAATAATTTATTTAAATTAAATTTTAATTGGCGCGCAAAGAAAAATTTTATTTAGCACAAATAAAATTTTAATTAGCGCGCAAAGAAAAATTTTATTTAGCACAAATGAAATTTTTATTTAGCACAAATAAAATTTTAATTAGCGCGCAAAGAAAAATTTTATTTAGCACAAATGAAATTTTTATTTAGCACAAATAAAATTTTAATTAGCGCGCGAAGAAAAATTTTATTTAGCACAAATGAAATTTTTATTTAGCACAAATAAAATTTTAATTAGCGCGCGAAGAAAAATTTTATTTAGCACAAATGCTAAATAACATTTTTCTTTGCGCCAATTAATTAATATAATATTTAATTAAATTAAATTTTAATTGGCGCAAAGAAAATTTTTATTTAGCAGAAATTAAATTTTTAATTGGCACAAATAAAATTTTATTTAACATAAATAAAATTTTTAATTAACGCAAAGAAAATTTTTATTTAGCAGAAATTAAATTTTAATTGATGCAAAGAAAATTTTTATTTAGCACAAATAAAATGTCAATTAGCGCGCAAAGAAAAATTTTATTTAGCACAATGAAAATTTTAATTGACGCAAATAAAATTTTTTATTTAGTACAAAAAAATTTTTTTTTTTTTTTTTAAATTTACTTTTGAAAAAAGAAAAAGTAAATGCAAATTAAATTTTCTAATTACAGACAACTAGGTGTATAAATAAATATTTAAAGATTCGTAAAATGTCGATTTTAAACGTTATAAAGGAAACTGTGAGTTCTCTTTGAAATCGACAATTACGCGCAGGAAGATTAAATCTGGTTGCACCACTTGCACTTACATGAATGATGTAACATCATAGTATATATATATATTCGAAGAGTGCTCTTCTGCATCAGAAGTTGTTGTGCTATCATTTTCAACTAACGCAATAATTAGATCTCTTTACCTATATATATATATATACATTGCTTGTGAAAGTATCTTATAATATATATACACTATTAGGATTATATATCAATAGAAGGGATTTTAAAAATTGTCTTCATTCAACTCTTTTTTTTTAGAAATAAAAAATTAATTACTATAAATTTAATATTATTACAATTTTTTTGTTACAATAATATTAAAATTACAATAATCTGTACATTATTACACTCAGAGAAATGGTATATTTGTCTCCGTGCCTACTAACTCATTTATTTGTTGCAAATATATTTTATTTCATTGAAATAAAAAATTTATTTGAGCCAAAGAAAAATTTATTTTTGTCAAATAAAATTTTTATTTACGCCAAATAAATAAGTTAGTAGGCTCTGAGACAAATATACATTTATTTAACTCAAATATATTTTATTTGGTCCAAATAAATCATTTTTTCTGGATGTAGAAAAATGATATATATATATATATATATATAAATATATTTGTCTCAGAGCCTAATAAATATTTATTTGATTCAAATAAATTTTTATTTGATTTAAATAAAAAATTTTACTTATACTTACTTATACTTATATATCATCAAATATAAAAATAAAAAAATACGTATTTCCTTATTTTTCATATAGATTTCGAAAAAAAAATGTTTCGGACGAAAAAAAATTTTCAATGAAAATTTCCCATAGAATGCCCCATATTCACTAATTATATTAGTAAATTTCAAAAAATAACTGAAACTTCAGTTAAAATGAAAAATACTGATTGAATTAGTAAAATTTCTACTGATTCAGATTTATAGAGAGTAATGAAAGAGAAAATCTCAATTAGTAATTATAAGCAGGTAGTGTCTTATAGAGAAAAATTTTTATAACCGATAAGAGCCGATCGTGCAAATTCAAAGTTGCAAAAGTTACGCTTATATATTACTTTAAAAAAAAAAAAAAAAAAAAAATGAGGAATA